GAGTCCGGCGCGAGGGGGGGGGGCCGCATCCAGAAGGTGAGCGAACGGGTGGCAGCCCGGTGGCATCATGTCGTGTCCCCCTCTCTGACTCCGATGGTGGGAGATGCTCAACCAGCTGCTGTGAAAATTCACCCCCTTTAGTGTTTTAATCCCTTCTCCCCCTCCCTCCGGCAGCGTGCCCCCCTCCGAGCAGCTGCGTTTCAGCGGCGCGGCAGCCGGGGTGGGGGGGGAGGAGCCCATTCTCTGGTGACCCCCTCTCCCTCCTCCTGTCCCCCCCTCCCCGCCATCCCCGGCCACCACAGAAAGCCCTTTGTGTGGCCGCGTACAAGGGGCGGCTGTTCCCCGCCGGCCGGGCTACAGCAGAGCCAAAACCTGCTGAGGGACACTCTCCTGCGAGAAGAAAGGCAGAAAAGACGAGTTTTTCCCCAAAAAGATGTGCGCTGGGAGTCAGGCTGAGGCTGAGCTCCTCTGGCAGCTTGGGTTGGGCTGAGCGACCTGGGTGAGCTCCGGCCACCATCTCCCTCTCCTTTCCTCATTCCACAAATATCTAACCCCAGCCTGTCCCTTCCTCCACTCCAGCTGGAGAGTGAGATCCAGCGCATCTCGGAGGATTACGAAAACCTCGTCAAGGCCTCTTCCAAGCGGGAAGCCTTGGAGAAAGCCATGAGGAACAAGAGGGACGGCGAGATGCGACGGCTCCAGGACTTCAACCGGGACCTGAAAGGTGAAGGACCCTCCATGTCCCCATCCCCATGGGTGCTCTCCATCCCCCGGCTCTTCCCCCCGCCGTGTGTTTTTCCGCTGGGATCCAGGCCTTCCTCTGGCTGAAATCTTGTATTTAAATCTTAACTGGGTTTTTAATTGCCTTTGGACCAGAGCGGTTGGAATCGGCGAACAAGCAGCTGGCCAGCAAGACCCAGGAGAGCCAGGAGAGCAACCAGGGCAGCGTGGCCAAACTCCTGGCACAGAGTAAGTCCCCAGAGGGCTCCCGGCTGTCCTTGCCCGGCTCACCCGTGAGCGGGACAGTGGGGCTCAGCATGCTCCCCTTCGGCCGGAGGAGGAGGAGGAGGCGGTGGCGGGTGGCGGGCGTCAGCTCTCGCCCTTCCCCGGGGAGGATGGAGCCGCTCTTGGTGCTGGACTCCCGCCATTAATCCCGGCCGGCCGGCGGCGGGACCCGCAGTCTC